TTTGGAGATAGCAGTCCCCTTCCACCAGTTGTACGCCACCTTTTTGGCAATCAGGCATTCCCAGGCGCCCTTGGTGAGCCAGGGCGGCTTTCGGGCACTCTTGCCCCCCTTGCTTGTTGGGATGGTCGCCCCTTGGGCCCCGAGTATCGTCTCCTTAAGGAACGACCACTCATCTTGGGCACTGAGTTCCCCTGCTCTGGAGAACCCCAGTGCCTCTCCCACTAATCTCAACTCATTGAAGTTGGCCCTCTTGAAGTCTAGGGCTACCGCCTTGCTGCAGGCCCTTGACACCCTGCGCTGGATGGTGAATTCCAGCAAGCAATGATCGCTATCACCCAGGTGGTCGAGGACCTGGAGGCCCCTCACCAGGTCGTCGCCTGTGGCCAGGACCAGGTCCAACAGGGCATTTCCTCTGGTGGGACTGTGCACCTCCTGAATTAAGTGGAGGTCCTGTATCTCAGCCAGGAACCTCCTGGAACGGTCTGACCTGGCTGACTGTTCCTCCCAGCAGATGTCTGGGTAGCTACATCCCTTGCCCGGTCCAGCTCCTCCCCTTCAACTTGCCCCTCCTCTGACCCCATTCTGCTGGCAGAGGATGTGTATTGCTTCTTGACATAGAGCGCCACACCCCCACCTTTCCTTCCTTCTCTATCCCACCTGTAAAGTCTATAGCCCCTAATGCTAACTGCCCAGTCATGGGATGAATCCCACCATGTTTCTGTAAGCCCTATTATGTCTGGGTCTGAACTGGCTATTCTGAGAGCGAGTTCCTCCTGTTTGTTCCCCATACTACGAGCATTGATATATAGGCATTTAAGGCCTTGCCTACCTGCGTGTGCCACCCCCTGATTTGGGAGACCGTTTGGACACCAGTTTCTTACCTGGGCACTCCTTGCATTTGTCACCTGTCTTGCTTGGGTGGTGTCTCCTCCTCTTCCTGCGGCCCCCTCCCCCAGCGAGGCAGCTGCTGCCTTCGCCACCGAGGTAAGGGGGTACACGTGTGGCACACGTGCACCCTGCTCCCTCTGCTCCTGCTCCCCAACTGCTGGGGGAATTTCGAACCGCGAGCTTTTTAAAGCCTATGGTTTGAAATTCCCGCGGTTGACCCCCTCAGCCAATCAGGCCTTTTGGTTAGGCCGGAACTGCGTGCCAGCTGGCCCCGCCCCCTACCAACCCTTCCACTGGGATCCTGGGGTGGCAGGCAATACCACCCCAAGGGACTAGCCAGAGCTTGGGGGAAAGGCCCCCGGAGCTGCTCCCCCACTTTGGGGAAAGGCCCCTGCTAGATCCCACCCCACCCCCGGTCTGCCTGTCCGCGGACAGCTCAGGAGCGCAGCTCCCTGTTGGGCGAGCTAAGAGGGCTCCAAAGAGCTTCCCCTCCGGATCTGCCTCAGCTGTGCTGTACCCTCTGCCCCACTTACTTTATGGGGAATCAGCTGTTGCCCCCGCTGCTGTCTCCTCTGCAGCTGCTGCCGTCGCTGCTGAGGTAAGGGGGTACACGTGTGGCACACGTGTGCCCTGCTCCCTCTGCTCCTGCTCCCCAACTGCCACATGGGCCTCAGGGCCCATGATTATTGGGTGATACAAATAGTCAGAAGCTTCTGAGGCCCAGCCACTTGGTATCTGGGGACACTAGCCCCTTGTTGCAGCTAGACTGCTGAAACAGCATCCCAAATTCACTTTTTAAAGTGTTCTAAAATCCACATTTTTCCACAATTAGAACAAAAGAGAGAGGGATTGATCAAATGGGCAATGTTTTATTGCTATATTTACAAAGTTAAAGCAATTTGAAAACCTACCAGTGTCTCTAGCATCATAATAAAATCTAAATATCTATATGTTTTAATGTTTACTTTTGATTTCCTTATCGCATGGTAGGTGTGTGATTGGGGGGATATGGGTTTTGCAGGAGAGGGGTGGGAAGGTGGGGTGCGTGGGTGTGGAGGGATGTGGGGGGGATGCGGGTCAGTGTATCAGTACGTGTGGAGGGGACTGTGGGTGAGGGGGCTACTTAGGGATGGGTTGCCTGCCATATATACCCAGCTCTTTATATAAGACTAGCCAATTGCCCATCAAGAATGACAAGGGGAAGGGGAGAAGGGAGTGAGCAGGGACAGAGCCCTGCCCCTGCCCCGACCCTGTCCAGGCCCACTCCCTCCTGCTGCTTGGGGTCCAGGCCCACTCCCTTCTCCCTCCCTGCCAGAGTGGTGGGGGGAAGGGAGAAGCAGGCCTAGGCTGACCCAGCAGTTGTGGGGGGAGGGAATTGGAGCTCGGGGCTGATGCAGGGGAGCAGGGCTTACTCCTCCCCTCCCCTCCCCTTTGACTGCCGTGTTGGGCCCAGCCGGGCCTGCTGCTCCCGTCCCAGCTCAGGGGCCACCCCCCTGCATTGAGCCTGAGCCCAGTCCCCTCTCCCCTGTGTTACTTGTAGGGAGGCAGGACTGTGGCCCCCAACTCCATCCCCTGTGTCACTACCATCATGATGGCAGGCTGTCTTCTGTCCAAACACTTCTTCACACTCAGACCAGTGACGTTACTCCCTCCAATTTGTCTGTAAAGAATTGTGTATGCATGTGGAGCAATAGAAATAGCTCTTGCTAATAAGAGTACAGCAGTTGATGGTGCATTGTTTATATAATAAAGCTCTAATGCAAGTATTCATGTAATCTCCTGTACAATGGCTGGAACAATGGGAATCCACGTATGAATGAGACTTCTAGCTACTATCGCAATATAAGCAAGTAGCAATCAATGTGTTTCTGCAATAAGGTTTGCTGAATTGATACAAATTTGCAATTGTTCTGCAAATTGAAAATCTATTATGGTAGTGTTCTGACTCTAAGTTGACCCTGAACATTAAATGACCGCATATTTTCAGGTTCCATTTTTAGGAAAAACAGTTGTTCCCTGGCTATAAGCCAGTAACTACAAATGAAGGCACTGAATTGCTATTGTTCTTACAAAATCCTGTTGGAGAATCACATAACCAATGAACTAACCCAAAGGGCTAAATGCATTAAAGATACCAAAATGCAACCCGCATTGCACAAAAATTCTGATCTTGTATTTTATGGTCTACACACCAGGGGAGACCAACCTGCAGTACATGCCACAAGTGGCACAGGCAGCCTCTGTGTGGCATATGGCAGATCAGGCAGGGAGCATGGGGAAGGAAGCAGATTGCAGAGGAAGGGGATTGGAGTGGCATTCAGGGAAGGCAGAGATTCAGTTTACGGCATATCTGCCACAAAGTTTGACCATCCCTGATCTACATAAATTCTGCAAGTACAAAAAAAGTCAAGACTGGAGGGGGGCCAATTATAGGTCAACCCTGTGCCGAAGTCGAGCACAATTGTTATGCGGGGAGGGGTTGGTCAGGGAGAGGGAGAAGGAGATACAATACAGTTCTGAAAACTGGAAGGCCATTTCAGCCAGATCCTAGAAGCAGTCTCTGTAGTTGGGTACAATTAGTTAAACTATGCTAAACTGCTAACAATCTTAATTAATTTCTTTTAAGCTTGTGCAACATTTATGTAACAGGAAACTCGGGTGTGGCAAGTGGGTGTACACCCTGCTCCTGACTCTGCCTTACTTACAGAAATGCTGTAATAGCTGAACAGGAATAAGGATGGGCTGTGGGAAATTAGTGATAAGAAAATATAAACAAACTAAAAGGAGATTAAGACAGTTTGCTTTTAAAGCCATAAAGAAAACATTCACAAGGCAGAGAACTTTGAGTCCTGGAGATGAACAGAAGAGGAGTTAATGCAGTAACATTCTTTCAATTTGGAAAACTTTGTTCAGTATGAACACAAGCTAAAGGAACCCCAGGTCAAATTCTGCTTCTTGTTTGCCCACACAAGATTTTCCTTGGCATCTGATGCAGAGCTACAACCAGCCATCACTGCAACTTGTCCCCAAGTAAGGTATTTTGGTAAGTTTTGGGGGTTTTTTCCATTAAAGAACAGTCATTTTATGGTCTCATCCACCTCCTTGTTATGCACGGTGTTGTACTGGGTGGGGCAAGGAGAAACCAGCCTTCTGAAATTCCTACTTAATACCCTTATTGACTATCCTGTATGTTAAATAGTGAATTTAGCAGTTAGTCCTCTGCTACTTCTCACTAACTGCTCTCCTCAATGCTGATGCTACTGAGATACGAGTCAGTTTACAGGAACAAGGGAATCCTAGAGTGGCAAGGGAGATTACAAACATGTCTTTTCTGTCTGTAATGCATATGAATGAATGAATGAATGAATGTGATGTGCTTGGTGACCTGGGCACAGGGGAATGGATATTTGCAGTAGAAACAGCCAGGGAATATATCTCCAAATGGTTTTAATACAATGATAGGGTTCAGAGGGGACAGAGCAGCACAGTGTTGAACTCTGTAGACAGAACCCTAAGGCTAGAGACAGACATTCAAAAAGCCTGAGCCTGAACGGATTTAATCTTTGCAGGTTAGTCTAACCTGGCTAGGCTAAATCACTTTGTAATTGTTTAGACATTCCAGACATGCAGGCACATGCCTGCAGTGGCTCAGGCTAGAAGCCAGGGAGTGCTAGAGCAGCCCTCCCTTCCCTGTGGCCAACCCCCATTAGGGTTAGGGAGGAGTTTCTCCCGCCCCCCTACTCCTTGATAAGAGTATTTATCAGCTCTGTTATCAGCATTTATCACCCCATCAGAAAACAAACAGCCTCTCTCATTAGTTCAAGCTCTTCTTAAACGAAGGCAGAGAGGGACATTACCAGCTGAGCTACTGATTAGCTCCAAAGAGCCATAAACCAACACTGCTGTCTGCCACAGCATGGACCGTA